CTCCTGTGTTTTGGAGGTACCTTCCTGTCCATATTTCTCACTTACTCAAGATCCGCAGGACTCCCACTCTAGCTCCTCACTCCATTTGGGTTGTGATGGACAGTTAAAACAGAACCCATTCTTACGGTGTAATGTAAGGATCTGAAATCAAACAAGGTTAGATTTGATTGAAATCCTGAGTATTGCATTGTGCAAGTGGTTTAGACTAGGTGGCATAATACATTGCATGCCCTTAGAGTAGTCTGAGGAGGAGGAGGAATTTTGGAGCCCGTATTAACTAAGTTAACAGGTATATTAACAGGTATAACAGATATATATATATTAACAGATATCACACTTCTCCAGAAAGGCTCCCAGACTACAGTATATCATAATTTGGGTCACATCAGTGACAATTTAGTATTTTGGAATTGAAAGGCGTGTTAGAGATGCCGCTTTTCCTATATCCACCACTTCCTTCCACCATTCACCATGTGAGAGATTCTGTTAATGTGACAATCCACTCGCTATTTCCTCTACTAAAAGTGGAAGACATGAGACTAGAAATGCCCAGTGTTTCTGAGGCTAGAATAACAAGGCTGTTTATAAACCAAGATGATCTATCAGAATAATGAATTTAATTCAAATAAATAAACTTTTTATTAATCATGTATGTCTCTGCTACACCTATTGATCTAAAATTAAAGCCTCTCTCTTTAAATCGCTCTTGTTTTCAGTTGCTTTGCGGTAGGGATAAACACACAGCTGCCCTAGGAGACATTTCAAAAGAAAGGTAACAACATAAATGATCTAGAGTTCTTTATGTATTTCTCAAATTACACTTTAGGAGATGAGGAAAATATGCTCTTATTCTCAATGCTCTTGTAAAACCACATAGAAGAGGTGTTAATACCTAATTATAGATCCACTTCATGGAAAAAAAAAATGTTGTTCAAACCAGTTCTCACATTACATTTGTGTAAGAACTGGGTGGATTGTGGTTTGGTTTTTTTTTTCTGTTTCACATGGCACAGAAATATTCCTACTTTAGTAATGCAGCTGGGGGTGATAGTATACATCACCTGAGAATCCATTAATTCAACACTTTAGCGCTTGAAAAAACAAATTGGAATTCCAGGTGTCATCAGTACATGGTGTTAAAGGCAAACAGAAACAAGACTCAAAAGAAACTGAAGAACAATTAATTTTAAACTAGCATATGCTTGTGCTCTACTTTTCTTTAAGTATTAGATGCTACTTTCCATTTTCACTTCCTCCTGTACACAATTATGTGAAAGCATTCATATGGTTCTAATGTAAAACTTCGTATAAGAATATTACCTATTTCTTCTTGCATTACCTGTAATCCCAGAAAACAGAAGGAACACCAAAAGGTTTGTGTTTAAATGGTGTCCCATCCCTCAACCACCAAAAAGGGAGGGAAGAAGCCCTCTTGGTACGTAAAACAAGTAAAAAATCAGAAGTACTTGGATTTTTGCAGCGCTTAATTAATCATTCATATGGTAATAAACAATGGTAAACTGGGTCTTATTCCTTTCTGTCCTCTTTCTCGATGGATGAGCTTGTCAGCACAAGTACAAGCAGATTTACCATGATTTATTGTAAATTTACCCAAACAGTTAAATGCTGCTGCAGGCAGACTTCTGCCTCAGTACTGAGACCTAATTTTCCAAAGTCTTGCCAAAGACTTTCAAAAGAAGGGTGATTTTCAAAATGTCTGCCATCTGTAATTCTGATGCTAGACTTTCGAAAGAGTTTGGCATCTAGAATGCTTAAGCCTTAAGAAAATCTAATCACTTAGATGTCTAAAGGAAAATATGTTAGTATGTTTTCTAAAGTGGCTTAGAAGGAAGGGTTCGCTTATAGGAGGGGGGGGGGGGGGGAGCGGTGGAAGGTTAGCCTGAAGTTCAAAGTTAGATATGAACTACAGTTATTTGCTGTCATTATTCCTTCAGGTTATGAAGGCAGAATAGGAATGGCATGTATTCAACTAAAGGACAACTGTGAATTTAATGCAGAAAGTACTTACAGACATGTTAACACTCACCTTCCAAACTATGCAAGACCTCGTTTTATAAGGATTAAGGTAAACCAGTGTTCCTAAGTAACTTCTGTGTGTCTGTCTGGATTGTGTTTTCTCTCTTTTCTGAGGACTATGGACTTTCTAGTTATACTAGCAATTCTCAAAAAGGCTTCTTTTGTCTCTCACTTGCTCTTGTCATTTACCAATATGAAAGTAGAACTCCGCCCAGATGTTTCAGTTCAGCCTGAAAAAAACAAGTTGCATGAGCAGCTACAGAATACCTGGCATATTTTAACATATAAAATCAGGAAGATCTCTTAGTGGAAAATACATTTCCTGTTGGATTCCTTCAGCACAGTAATACAGCTGTGTTCTCAGTTTAGGGCAGCTCCATCTACAGAGCTGTTCTGTGCAAAATAAAAGCTTGCAAGAGAGCTGTCTTTTGCAAGAGAGGCCTTAGATTTTTATCTTACCAGTGAATAAAGAGCCGAATTCTAAACTGAAATTTAACTTGAATTAGGAAAATGTTGCAAGAATGTCACTCTCACCGTACTTCTCAAGTTATTTAATTAAAATAAACATTGCTCCTTTGAGAAGGGTGGTGTATTCACTGAGATGATTCAAGAGGACTAACACAGAGATACTAGCATCTCTAATTATTTAATCAATCTTTAAACTTTTGAGTTTTACAAACAAAACAGTTGACCAGTCAAGGTAGTGGTTTGTCCTGCCATCCCACGTAAAGTACAGTGAGTCTTGCCCAGTCTCCAACTGCCATTTTCTTTGCTCTTCTTTTCTGAGAAAAATTCTGCTGTTTTTTGATCCGAGAACATAATTAAATAAATTTCTGGATAAAACCCTTGATTCTCTCTGACTAAAAGCTGAAAACTAGTGTTTTCCTGCCTCATTTAAATAGAATACTAAGGTAAGCCTTTCAGTAATGTTTCTGTGGCCCCAGCACTTCTTACATTCAGAGTAATTACTGGCCCATGTATTCCACAGTCCAGTTATTATCTGATGAATGCAGATAGTTTAGATGTCTGTTAGTAAGGCTTCAACTACTGTGCTGTATGGGTTTTCTTTAAATATGATTCCCTTTGAATTTAGGAAATCTAATCTAATTCCCACAATTATGTGCTGACGTTGGTAAGTAGAGATGTAATTTTATTTTGTAGAGTGCCATTGAACTTACAGCAACTTTTAAGTACTGTAAAGTACAACTAGTGGAGGAGGGTTTCAATCCAGCAGTCATCAAAGATCGCCTGTATTTCCTGGATGACAAAGAAAATCTGTATGTACAAATGACCCAGGACATTTACAACTTAGTAAAAAAACATGACTTCAAATTGTGAGCATGGCAAAAAAAAAAAAAAAAAATCTGTGTTTTGTAATACTCAGTTTTTAAAGCATCTGTTATTCTAACCTTGCCAGGAAATCCCATTTATTAATATTAGCAAATATCAGTACCTGAAATAAATTGTGAATGTGAGATTGTTTTAATAAAGCAGAACTTTTCCAACTCTACTTGTATGTTAGCCTGGCTTCTCCTCTCCTTCATACTTTGAATCTTACCTACCTTCTTACTGTGTATGGATGTATTGTTAATGTTGTGAATGTTAATATTGTGCACCTAAGCAGGTGAAAGTGGGTTCAATATAAGACATCTTTATGCAAATACATTTATATTAAAGGGCGATCCACTGCATTAGTAAGAATTACATCCCTAAGTCAAAACACAGAACTCTTTAAAAAGACCATTAATGAAGCTTACAGTTGTCTCAAATTAACTAATCAAAAAAAGTCTGTATTATATGCTTACATTAACTTTTATCCATTGCAGCAGAGATGCCCTCTTATTTTTTTATGCACCAAATAATACATACACAGAATGAGAACAATTTATAAGAACTAAGACGTATTTTCCTTCGGGTGCAAATAGAGTAATGGCAGGCCAGATAAAGTGTGGCTTAGATTTCCCTAGGATTTAAAAAAAGGCAAATAATATTACAGAATGGAATAAAATAAATCTGTTCTTACTAGAAAGGGCTAACAGGCCAAATTTTACTGCTCCTTGTAACACATGCCTCAATATACCCCACTGTGAGTTTAGCTGATGATGTTTAAAGGTATGGAAATTGTTCTGATTAGCAAGACTCATTGTTCATATAACTTGAGAATAGTTATACCGGGTCAGACTGAAGATCCATCTGCCTTCAAGATGGGGTGATTGTAGATCTCTGGAAACAACTATGAAGAAGGCAGCAAGCATCTCGCAGTGCTTTCCCAGAATAATTTCCAAGCAATCATCATGCTTCCTGACTCAGCAGTAGTATCTCTGAATTTAAAGCCACCCTCAATAGACTTTTCTCCTCCCAGTTTTTTTAATTATTCTTGAAAAATACGTAAAATCATTGGTCTCATGTAGCAATGTTTGCTGCATAGAGACCCTTTCTTCTGTAATGCCCCTTAGTTCTTCTGATATGAGAAAGGGTGAAATACCATTCCTACTCTCTTTCCTCATGCACTTGTGATTTACAGATCTTACGTAATGCTGAGAAAGGTGCTTAGCAAGGGCAACTGCTCTTGCAACATGGTTGCATAAAGCCTCCTGTGCACTGTAACTGATTAGCACAGATGGGACGGCAGGGCTGCTGTGAGTTTAAACTCAGGGAGTTTTAGCATTGCCCTCATCCAGCAAAATCTCTTAGAGAGGTTACATCCTTCTTTTTGCACAGTTCAGAATTGATGTTGGCATTGTCTGCACACACACATCATCACAGCACTCTAGAGAGTTTAAGTCAAGGTCTTGAAAAATAAAAAACCAAAACATCAAGGGTGCAAATAGAGAGCTAAATTGTTTACCCAGCATATTTTGTCAAAATGGTTCTAGCCTACCAGCTAGAAACTGTCCATTACCAGGACTGATAAGGCAGAAATTGGCATTTCCTTTACCACAGTCTACAAACCAGAGTTTTTCATGTTATATGCCTACAAGATTTATTTGACATTTTAATCTATAAATACATGAGGTTTCCACCAGTAAAAGCACAGGAATTTTCTCAGTGGTCATTGCCACTGCTTACATATTGAACAAAATAACATGTAGTATTGCATATGAATAAGCAAACTTTGGTTCTCTTTCTACCTGGAGAGGTCTTAAGGACCAATCTCTTTTATTTGTTAAACAATGGCCTGCAGAGGACAACAAGGCAGCTGAAGGCCACACTGAATGCTACACTCTGGAAAGCTTGGGACACTGTAGAACTTAATTAGTTTTTTGAAGGCACTTTTTTTGAGCATCATCACCTCTTCAGGCAGCCTGGAAAGAATTGTGGCATTTGCATGAGACTCCTTGTCAGTGGCTGCTGCTTTGGGGTTACATTGCTCAAGACCACCAGTCATTGGCACACTGTTGCAGCTAAGGGAACGTGCTGTCTTTTTCTTGCCTTGAACAGATAAATAATTGAATAAAAAAGAGGTTAACTTATGTCTGGTAACATCTTGGACATCTGGAAAACAGTCATCTAGAGGATCCCCTTGACCTTTCACTTGTTCACTAATCACGCACGTACTGGGACTTACTGCTAACTTCTTAGGCTGAATTACTATTTTTCTGGAAGGTGTTTTGTATTTTTCTCCAACTAGATAAAGCTGAGAAGCACTACTAATGGCATCAGAACTAGGCTTAACTATCGTATTAGGGATTCTTGCCCCATCCCCAGAATTGATGCAGTGCACCCCATAATTCTGGCTAACAATTTGGGCTGCAGTGTGTTGAATGATGTTCCAGTCTTGCAGAATATCTTCCCTGGTTGTGAACTGAGATGTTACAGTAAAGCGAATGATGAACTTGTCATGAATGGTTGCTGGAATAAGGAAGAGCCTGCCAGAACTGCTTAGTTCCTTCAGGAGTTTTTCTGTCAGCCAGTTGGGACCCTGTTTTAAATATGAATAATAAGGAAAAAAAAAAAAAACACACCTATAGTTAGCATTTCCAGTGACATCCAAATGTCTCTGTAAGAATTCCAGCATTACAAATTCTTACATGAAAGTTTATTAACAGTTAATGTCTGCGTAGAGATCAGCTGTGGTCAATTCATTCCAAAGAGACATGCAAAAAGCCCAGTCTTTACCTTTAAACGAAATACAACCAGTCCAAGATGCCTCTTGGCAGGAATTTCAAAGAGTGGATCACTTTTAACCAACGATTCAAAGAATTTGGCTGTTTCAGTACCCTATAATTAAGGCAAAAAAGCAGTTATGTATTGGTTTAACCCAAACCCACTGTAAGACACTAAATTAAGTAGTTAAAAAGAATTCCTTTCCTTACTAAAACGCATCATTCCAATGCATGAATGTTAGTAAACAGAAGAATGACAACAAAGCTAAGAATTTTAAAGTCTGTCTCTATTTGCCCAAACCCTTGACAGTAACAAGAGAAACTGGACTACACGTAGGAGTTTTCTAGAAGAAGGTTTGAAAACAGAATGTGCCTTCTCAGTTTAGAGTCCTTTTGCGGCAACCGTTGATCCACAATATGATCCCTTGTATTTACACTCCATCAAAGACTTAAGCCTGTAAATTTTCATAGCAATGGGTTCAGCCATCCATCACAGCCTGCTCCCAAACAGCTGCCGCTTTGCCTCAAAGAAAGCTTCTACAGATTAGTACTCAGTAATGTGCAGAAGGCATTGACTTATCAACTCTCTTTCCATTGCCTATTGCTTCCAAGAAGGGTACAGGAAATGTTTTGTCTATACAGTCAATCTTTACAGATTACTTAAGAGTAAAAATCAGCACGCATTTAGCGTTCACATGCAAGCTTTGTGTGTGAGAGGATTTCTGTTACTCATCTTTGAATCACTGAATTTATTAAACTCAGCTACCAATAAATGAATATAATACATTTATGCTTGCATTGTTAATTCACATACTTGTCGGACATGAGCTTGAAGCTTTTTCACCCCAAATGAACGAATCACAAACCACAGCTTCAAAGAACGAAATCGACGACTCAGTGGAATTTGCCAGTGCTGTGAAAACACAACAGTGTATCAACAAGTGCAAAAATAACAGAAAGGAGTGTCCCCTTACACTGCTATCTCTCTTGCCTCAGACTCACGTCAGAAATCTCCGTTGACACAAATAATTTCATACTACTGAAAATCTGCTAAGCCTAGGAAATAGCCATCAAAGAAACACTATGTCTACATACTTTTCAGTTATTTGCAAAAATAAGATTTTGGCTATTCCCCTTAATCTATGGCCTAGACATGCTTAGACTTTTTAGTTAATTACCAGCTAATAACAAAACCTTTTTGCGTTTAAAGAGCATTATCAATTTTAAGGTGTGTCCATTTACACTTTAGGACTGAGTGCTTAATGCAGTTCCTGTAATTTGCATATTTAAGTGCCATCCTGAACGTTTTCCCAAATCAACTATAAACAGCGAGAGTTGATATAGGGGTAGACCCTTCCAGAGGAAGTAACGCCTACTGCATGGAAAAGAGTGACAAAACATGTAAAGGAATACTTCTAGGGAGCTACACAATTACATGCAGGGTCCTATTTAACCACAAGAGGGACTCATTGATATATTTTTCCCCCCTGCTCTACACTCACATTCTCTAGTGAAAAGCACTATTGATTTCAAGAAAACAATTATCTTTTCAGGACTAGGGTGAGATCATAGCAGAAACAATTGGCAGTGAATATTCTTTTGTTTTACTGGATTGAAATCTGCTGTAAGATGGACCTAAAGTGACATGCCTCTTAGCTCCCCTATGAATACCTTAATCTGAAGAAAAATGTAACACATTCTACTGCTGTTTCAGAGCATGGTGTTTCTATTGCTTACTCCTTTCTCTTTTTTATTACATATCGGAGATACAAGAAAACGAGCCAAAATGCCATCAGTAGAAATTACTTCAGCAACATGATGCACAGAAATGACCCTTCTAACTAAGAAGGCAAGGCTGGATCCCCATCTGTGTAAAAATCTTAAGTACTTCAATCTCTATGTCTGAAAGCAATTTTATAATTAATTTTGATAACCAGGGCTCACTTCAAAGTTTTACTATTTAATCTGCATTAGAATCTCAGTATAATTGGTTTTATGCTTTTATGTAATAAGACCAGCTATAAGATAAGCACACTCCAGAGCGTGAGGAATTTCGCATTCTGTTATAGGCAATTTTAAGTATCGACTCAAATAACAACTTACCATGAAATCAACAGCAGCTCCTGAATTGGGATGTCTGAGGTAGACAGGGTTAACACTGAAGGTTTGATGTAACTTGTATTTATCTTTAACCCTATCAATTGTAAAATGAATTGTATTTAGCAAAGAATTGTGCAGAGAAAGACTTTGCAATTTGCATGCTATCCTTTTGGTGTTGTGTTTTGCCTTTACTCACCAAAATCCAGTGCAGTCAAAATGAACCATCATCCATTTAGAAGGGTTAAAAGTAAAGGAATCTGCATATTCAATTCCATCCAAGAACAATCGAAATTCAGGACACACAAATGCTGTTCCTGCATATGCAGCATCAATATGAAGCCAGAGTCCCTCAGCATCACCTGTTGGAATTGAAATTGTTGTTATGTAAGGGACATAAGGAATCAAAGTACATGGTTAATCTCTCCTCTCTGAAAACTACGTGCATATTTTTGCAGGAGGCGGACAGGCTGACAATAAATAGCAAGCAAGACAAACAATTGACAATCTTGTTTTATTCTAAAGCTGTGGATCCAGAACCCCAAAATATAGGATAAAGCTGAAATCAGATGGACTCTATAACAAAATTCACTATTCCATATTTCATATGAGTGAGGCTTTTTAACGTTTGATTTCTCTCACCTGCCTTTTTAATAAGTAAAATTCCCCAGTACAACTCAGTTGCACAAAGCCAGAATAAAGACACGGTGGCAAGCAAAAAGATCTCTATCCAGAGATAGAAGCCATACTCTGACCCACAAAAGAAAGTGCCGCAGGTCTTCAGCAGCTACTTGTCAGAATTTATGCTGGAATAGAATCTGCAACCATATCAAATTTACCTATTGAACTGGTGGCTACAAAGGATGGCCTATCAAACACTACCTTCAAACCTTTGCTAGGTTAAGTATTTATGTATCCGTCCTACAACAGTACTGCACTCTGTACTGTACAGTCTGTATTCCCTGAGTAACCACATTAAAGATTTATCAGTTGGTAAATTTCATCCATCTTGAATAGAAGGTATTTTAACATCCTAATCTAAATCTTAGAGAAATCACTGCAAAGTCTTGCGCTGACTCCACCGATCTTTGAGACACATCTGAAAAACTCAGCTGATTAGTGTTTCTACTGTCCTTGGGTTTGGCATGAAAAATTTTCCTACTATCTTTTCTGTGCTATCATAGTTTAAAACGAGGAAAAAAGAGACACTTACAAATTGGACCCAGTTCTGAGAGATTGTCAAAAGCACAGACACCAGTTGTACCCAAAGTTGCACAAACCTAGAAGAAAACAAACCTGTTAAGATGGCATTTTTTTAATAAATGGATGCAACATTTTGAAAGTGGAGAGGCTATCATATACAGTTGAAATGACATTAAAATTTTTTTGTCCAATAAAATAGAAATTCTTGTATACATTTTAACCTTCAGCTAATGTATTTTAACACAATAAGAAACGTTTCAGATGTAATTTTATGATGACATTAAGAATACAACACTATGTCAATACCCCCAACCAGAAAGTTGAACATACAAAGACTGGCACTAGGCCTTTCTTTCTGTCTTCTGCAATGGCTTTCTTCAAAGTTTCACCTCTGAGGGAAAAGTTCTCATCCACAGGCAGAAATTTCATCTTCACAAGAGAAATCAAGCCAGCCTTTTCTACAGAAGAATGCGCCTTTAAAAAAAGAAACAGTAAGAAAGCAAGCTCTGAGGCTGAACAGCTGTGATAAGTTACGGCCTTATAAAAGACAGTGGTTTCAGGAAAAGCAGAGGTAAAATCCTTATTATAATCCATATTAATACAAGTCTGAAAGTTTCTTCTTTATGAATAACTAAAAGAAATAATACACTGTAATTCCAAGGAATGCATATGCTCCATTTATTTGGGTACTGGTCTCTAAAATGTAATAATAGGCATCCTTACCTTGTGTTTGGAGGGCCATTTATCAAAACTCAGATCTTAAAGGACCCTCTAGAAATGGATCAGCCTCAGTTTATTCCCTCCTCCCTGCCATAAGAAGATAAAACCCCTGAAGTGTGCCTACTTCTGGGCTGGGGTAGACCAAAACCCCTCACAAGAAAAAGCCCTTCTAGTTATACTGAGAGAGAACCAGTATGAATCTCTCTCCTGTTGCAGTTTTCACAGGGGAATACGATGTCCAGTTCAGGAGTCCAAGGGCAGAACAGGTTTGCTGGCAGAGTCACAGTACTGCGTGGATGTTTCCTCCAAGAACAAGCACAGAGGCTAGAGCGGAGACCACAAGCGGGAGCAGCACTGAGGTAACACCCGAGCATGCCTGTCTCCGAGTGGAAGGAGGCTGTGAAGAAACAAGATCTGAAGCAGCACGAGATCAGCACCTAGTTACTGGAGTAAGGCTTTGTGAAAAACAGGAAGAAGTGCAAAAATGAGTCATCTGAAACAGTCTCTTGAGGACTGCTGGGACCCTACAAAACCTCATCTCACACTGATTTCGTTTCCCCATCTGCAGAAAGCAACATTCGAGGGATTCGTTCATGCTTGAGGCATTCACGTTTGTTTCTCTCTTGGTACAGAAATGGGAGTTCACATTGCATAGTCTGGGTGAGACAGCAGAAGTGAATTTGTTTTCTTTGTAACATAAGAACCTACTTGATCAGACGCATAAGCGATGAGGCGAGAATTGAGTGAGGACTCATCAGTGTCTGGCTCGGAAAGCTTCATCTCCAGAATTTTGTTTTTCCGTGCTGCTAGCAGTGCAACCAAGGTTGACTCACTCACAGTGCTCTGCAAAGAGATTGCTCATTTACTGCAACATACTGCTACGATACTGCTATTTTGTCAGGGATTTACTGAAGTCATTGAAGTGCTCAGCTGCCCACCCCCTCTTATTTCTACTACCACTTTTTGGGGGTGCAGTGGAAAGTCAGTAGCTGAGGAGCAGCTCTCTGGGCCAGCAACACAAAACAAAGCCTTTAAACTGCTGTATATTTTTAACATGCAGGACTGAGTTGGGGGGAGTAAATAAATCACATTTTCCTTTTGTTCTTCTACAGCTAAAATGTAGGATCTCCCATAAAAATTACAAACGTGAGCAAAGCTCCTTATAACACAGAGCCTCAGCACTGATTCCAGGGGATTCTTGCTTAGGCCTTACAAAAGGAGGTGAAGTTGCAAGTTGATCTTGCAACTCTCAGAGACAGAAAGTAGACATGAGAAAAAGGAAAGATAATTTCTTGTATGGCTAAGGGCTGCTGGCAGAAGGACAGTGACGAGGATTACTTCTCGAATTGTGTAAGTATCACTTTAGTGAATAATTTGGTGACATGAAACAGACTGAAGAAACCAAATCTGACTCTCATTTATCCTTAGTAAGGCCACAAGAGTACCTGTTCCTTGTCCATAACACAATTAGGACTAAAAGCAATAGCATTTCCTATTCTATAATCTTCTATATTTAACACTAAAATTTGGGAAAGCAATGTCAAATTGGGATTTGTCTCTATTCAGACCCATAGAGCAAATCTTGTTGGTTTTGTTTGCCTCCGGGAAAACTATCACCCAGAGGGAAATTCACTTGAGTGAAAACAAAATGTTGATGAGGCCACCTCTGATCTCCCCTACCTGTAATACCCCTCCGCCCACACTGTCAGGATGGTGGTGCAGGAATTTATCTGGAAGGCCCAGCATTTTAGCCAGCCAATCCATCACATTCATTTCCAGTTCTGTACAGGCTGGACTAGAGGCCTAGAAAAATAATTAAAAAAAAGACACAATGAGGCTGTAATTCATCCTGCAAACACAGTAGGCGTATAACCCTTAGAGTAAACCACATATCACATTTTAATTAATAGCTATTAAAACTTTTTAATTGCCTTGGGAGAAATCTCACCTAGATGCAACAAAGGCAGATGACAAGCTTTGTAGCATTGGATAAGCAGCTAACTATGTAATGCTATGGCCCATACCTAGCAGAACACAACGCTATTGTAATAAAAATTATGTTGTTTCCTGAGTTCTGTAATACAGACCTCTATGTCAAGGTTACAGTTGAGGGTGAGCTCCAGGTACCTTGCTCATTACCAGTTGCTCTCTTGGAACACCAAATACAGAGACTCTCGCCAACCTCCTTAAAATGCTCTCTCCAGATTACCTGCATCACCTCGGTGTTGAGCTTCTGAACTATCAATAATTTTAGAGTCATTAAAAAAAAAAAATCACAATGAGCCATTTGAGACAAAACCGTGGAACTGCAATTCACCACACAAGTGCATGCTCTTGGTCCCTAAAGAGAAAGGGCACTGATCCATCTTCCAACTGAGCGTTAAGGGAGGCTTTTTGAAGAGCGGCAAAAGAAAGACGAAAGCTATTCCACAGTGTCCAGCCTTCCACTTACGAAAGAATAGGTTTACATTGCAAACTTAACAGAAATGTATCAAAACTAGATTGAGGGCATGGAAATGGACGTTTCTGTGTATGCAATAAGCTAATCTGATACAACTACATGGAGACCGTAACCATCAATTTCTTACAGGTTTATGAGCTTCTACTGCTTTCTTACATGGAGACATACATCTAAAAATCTGGGCAACTTCACCACTGGGGAAAACATTGGCTTCAGAACATTACTGAGTTATGTAGAACCATAACCAAGTAGCGCTGTGTAGCTGCTGCAGGAGGGTACAAAATACTCAGATATTCTGGGACAGGCCACCAAGCAATTATTTTCAGAAGAGGAAAAATAGGAAATGTGTTCTCTCAAAGGAGCAGAAGAACTGGAATGGGGCCCAACCTAGCCTGCAGCCATGGATGGTGGCTGCTCTATTGCCTGCAGTGTAACAGTCTTGGCACTGAGACTAGACGACAGGGAACAATGTTCACAGTGGAATATGCAAAGAATTAGAAAACAGACATTTCTAGTGGTATATTTTCTTCATTCACCTCTTACTACTAGGTAATGTTTGCTCTTATATATTCTATTTATTTATTTATTAATTCAAGTGACATTTTTCATTTATGCAAACAACATACAATTGGTTAAAGTAAATAATTATCCTGACTCACAGAACAAGAAAGAATGACTATGACCTGCTCCTGCATAATACACACAGGAGATGAATATCTAAAATAACAAAAAAAAAAAAAATTTACCCATGTGAATCCCAAGCAGTTAATTGCATCAGCCAACATATCTCCAAGGAGTGAAGGCCAGGAAGTAAGAGCTGGAAAGTAGGCATGCATGTGTGGACTTTGCCAATGGACTACCTAGAAGAAAATTATCTAGAAGTCAAGTCTGAAAATGTCACAAAATTCTGCACAAGATGTAGTGATTAGCATCTGTTTAAAGTGATGGAGAAGGATCACAGCAACATAATATGTGCAATTACAGATCTGCTAGCAGAAAGCTACAGAGATAATATCAACAGGAGTGCAGCACTAGCAAACGATAATACTGTGTCGTTATTAGATAAATTCCAAATTATAGCAAAAGCATTTATCTGAATTAAACAGATACAGGCAGACAAAGATTCTGAACAGGAAAGAATGGTTTTTTGAACATTGCACAGAGTCAGAAAAATTTATCGAAATATTTTTCTTTATAAGGGGAATCCTTGCAACAAAGTTGCTCTTGCTCATTTTGTCAAACAACAGCTTGCCTTTAGCTACACACAGCAATTTACAATTATATAGACCCCCTCTATACACCTGAAGGAGCTTTTATGTGGGACACCAGCATAAGCATATTTAACGTGAATACCTCTCCTACATCAGACCAAGTTTCTGCAAACATCTATGAAGAAAATTTTAAAACAGACTTTGAAACAGCTTCTTACATAAAATGTTTAATTAGGCAATATGAACTCCCTTAGCAGAATCTGCAGTATTTACGTACAAGAGGAAGGAGACCTTTGCATTCAAAGAGCAGGAGACAAGTCTTACATGTACATGACCTTGGGCAAGAGATGTTTCACCTTGCTGTGCCTGAGTTTCCACATCTCTGAAATTTGGTAGAGGCCTCGTGAAACTAAATTCACCAAGTGTCAGAAAATCATTGTTTCCCTCTAAGCAAACATGAGTTATTCTTAATGTATAAAAGACTTCAAAAATACATTCAGTCTATCCCCTAAAATTGTAGTTAGGAACATAACAGTAATCTCCAGAATCGTTCTGTGGACATAATGTCTACAAGACTTTAATTCTACATTTTGGGTGCTTTATTTATTTAGATAAATGTTCTGCAGAATCTGTGCATTCCCAGAATTTGGTGTTCACCCCAGGTAGCAATGGCTTTTCCATCACTTTAAAGATTATACTTTATTTCTTACCCCGGGCATAATAATCTTCTCTATATCTCCAAAGATGTTGTCCCAGCTGTCTGGGTCCATCGGGGCAGCATCCGGCAACTGGGCTCTCATGTAACCTGGCTGTACCTCAGGAGTCACCCGCCTCTCTCTCACATTGCTCAGGTACTGGCAAATGTAATCCACCATCTCTTTTCCTGGAAGAGGCAAACCAGTGCTTTGAGTTTCAATTGCGGGAGAACTAACTAGTAGTACTAGCACTTCATGCAATCTGTCATTAACATTGGACAGGGCTTGGAATACTGCTCCCAGGATAGCCACAGGAACTACCCTTCCTCCTACACCCTACTTGTCCCATCTAATAACGTAGGGACACAGCTTCTAGAACAGGCTTCACGGGGACAGAACAGATTCACAGGATTATTTCAGTGTTGTCATTGAATAGTTCAAATGTACCTCTAAAATACAATCATGGTACAAGTACAGACTGTTTGATTACTGAGAGGATAGACAGATTTTCTTGCCTACAAATTAACTGAAACTGCATTTCACAGAAATTAAATTTTCATAATGCCCCATGCTTCCCCGTTGTTATAGCATACCCCCTTTTGCATCCTCTGAAAACAGCTGCACAGCTCCACCTTTTCTCCACTTTTTAGGCAATCTCCTCCAGCCCTGGAACCAAAGTTCGCTCCCCATCTCCAGAACTGTGCCAGTACCACTGAAGTTTCACGGTGTCAGTCAGGGAAGAGCCACTGTGCATAACCCCTTAGCACAAGTTTATTCAGAACCACAGTTTTGCAGCTTTCCCACAGTATTTTAAATGTAAGACCAAAAAGCCCAAGTCATCCACTGACTCTAAATCCATTAATTAAAACTCAACCCTGGGACACATTTTTGACTGTCTCAGCAGATTTAAGTCTCAAGGACACGTATGCAAATAAAGAGTACATAGCCCATCCTAACTTTGGGTACCACTCCCAGCCCTACAACAGTTGACCTCCATGAGCAAACGCTACCTATTTCCAAGAGCAGAGAACCACTCACCTCTCCGTCTGTACTCCTCAGGCTCCATACTGATTCCTTCTAAAAGCACCTCTTCAAACCTGGGCCACGACCTTTCAGGAGCTGTGGGCAGTTTGGTCTGGTGCCCTGCTAGCTGCTTCACCTTTTATAGCTCCCTTTATCTCTCAGACTCATGCAGTCTGGAAAAGGTTTAATGGAGGCAGGTTATTGGCGAGTGTTTATCTAACTCCTCCCAACTGAGGGCTTTTACAGTCTCTCGTATGTTCTCATCTGTGCTCTTTTGATGTGTAAGATAGTGTATCTCTAAGAGGAGCTGCCTCTGCGCTAACCCTTTCCCATTTTCCAACAATCTTTCAGAAGTCTCACAGTAATCCATGTCATGAATATAAGACACATCAACATCAGACTTGTGGGAGAGAAAAATCTCAAGAGCTTCTAAAACCAAATAAAAGCAGCCATGTTAGTCTAGCACACCAAACTACTGTGCTAGCAGTAGTCATTAAAACAAGGCACCAGCACTTAACAAATTTGACACTGCAGGCAGAAACTTTTTTTTTTTTTTAAAGAATTGTAGGACTGAGTTTTCCCAAGAAGAGGTTATACCTGCATCCCCACAAGTCTTCAGTCCCTATGCTGTCAGTCCCTTGCTGCTAGAAGGAAAGTCATTACAATTATTGCCAGTTCCAGAACTGCAATACAAAGCAGCAATGATCCTCTTTGTGGATTTCCTGCCCTTCCAGATCAGACCAGGTTACACTGCAGGGTGATGTTCCTCCACTAGATTGCTGAACTGGGAAAATGCAACTTTTCCCCCCGCTGTGCTTGCTTTTCTCACATATGATACACATAAGCACTGGGATTTGGCCTTGTATCTCCAGAATTCCTCCAAGTCCTCCACCTGGATTGTTCTCAGTTTGGAAGAACAGCCATGTAGATTCCCCCTTGTTCCAGCTTTAGGGCCTGAAAACGCGTCCTGACCTGTCCTTGGCAGCACGACCTTTGACACTGTACTCAATGTTGAGCGCTTATCATCTTCATCAGAAGGAACTCACTTGCTCTACGCTGATACCAGGCAGCCCTGGGAAAGGAGAGAGGTAGGACTTATGGACTAAGCACCAGAAAGAGAAATTATTACATAGTACAATATATGCTTGCCCTATTTTTACTATACCCTAGGCTCCTGCTTAGGGCTGGCCCTGTTGGAGACAGAATACCAGGCTAGGCAGACCCTTCTTGTTGTACATGATGGCAATTTCTCTGTTCTCAATGTACAGAAGAGAACTGGCTGTCAGAGCAGCTTTGATTTTCTGCCTCGTACTATAATGCAGCCTAAACGCTTTCATTATTCTAGAAAGTTATGGTTTTTTCCACAGTGTACTTTCTGCAGAACAGTGTGAAAACCTTTCCTAGTTTCTGCTGTGATTAGATATTCGAGAAAGAACTGTTTCATAGATATGACAAAGATGCTCTGATACATGCGCATCAGATTAATAAACTGAAATAAAAAAAAATTGATAAAAAAGGCATTGAAAGAAGTGGTGCAAGAAGTGCAGAAAAAAACCATACTATCTGCATATTCTGCTTTATCTCACATTTCTCCGGAAACATTAGGAAAAAAATAACAAGCTGCCCACACACTTAATATAAATTTATGAACCTCTCCTGGCTTTACTGTAAAGGCTACCATAAAGGGGAACAAAAAAGGTGAGAAGGGACTGTCATCAAGCACAGGACCCACGCAGGAAGAGCTCAGCGTTCTCAAAAACTGCAATTCTAGCTCATTACAAGTAACTAATCCATTACTTTAATATACGGACGTCTGTTCAAAGAAAGCTGGTAGCTAATTACATTTATGATTTCAATTTGGAACAGCAAATAAGGAGCAATACTTTTAACAATGTTTTCAGAGCTAAACTACACAATAAATATTCCATGTGACATATACTCTACACCTTTGCTCAAAGGTGATAGTTTCATCAGGTTTGTTTCTCGTTCTGTGCAGAAGAGAACAAACAGCAGGCCCTGTTCAGAACTAGAATAAAATAGGTGATAATGAACTACAGGTAGGGTAAATATTGCTGGTGATAAATAAATTTGTTATAGCTACCCTGCACTTGGAAGGATTTTGTTACAGACAATGAGGAATAGAATATTTGCTCACAGGAAGCAGAATGAATAGAAAGGGTTCTTTTCATTGTTTGCTACAAAGGTCTATGCCGTCAAAACCGTGGGAAATTCTCCATTTGGACGTGAACATTACCACTATCACTACTCGGACTAACGCTGAAATTCTTATCGTTATTAAGAGCTCACAGAGATTAAGCTATAGTTAAGTTTGTGGTATGTGAGGACACAAACATTATTTTGATCACAGAATAATTCAATTGGAGCAATGCCTAACCAGCACATTTAACTTGACTAACTGGTTCCTGCACTCGCTAGTGACATACTGGGTAGTTTCTGGAAAAAAAACAACCCTAAAACATAGCAATTTCCAGTTAGTCACTGCACAAGGCTTGCTTCAAGTCCTAGCTAAGCATGATTATATCCTTGAAAACAATTCTTCTGAAAACCACCACCACAGATTTTCCATTTTTTATTATTTTTTGGGGTCAAATTTGCCAATCGGGATCAAATTTGCCAAATTTATACCAATACTAGGATACTTAGGATTTTTTTCCTAACTGCCAATTCTATAAATTCAAGTCAAAGTTTGAAAAAGGAAGATTTTACTTCGTATTGTATAATGCAATTCTTTCCCCACTCCTCCCTCCTACCCCTGAAGGTTATTCTAAGCCTAAAACTGTTTTTTTCATATTTTTCTGAATGCCTAACACAGCACAGCTTTGACCTTCTAATGCGCATGCAAAACAATTAAATGGAATTGATTCTACACTATACATATGTGGAAAAGATATTTAATTGTAAAATAGAAAAAGTAGGCCAGAGTACAGTTTTAAGGGTAATTCTTCTGTGTACAGTATAGGTAAACTAGACTTTTTGCTTAAGTTTATATAAACAATTCCATAAGAGCAGTGAAACATGGAACAATAAAGCAAAGCACAGAGAGTTTTATCTTACAAAAAAGGAATCTGCACAGTAGTTCAAAATTTAATGTAACACAGCACTGAACAATCTTAAGGCAGCTCAGTCTAAGCACAGGACTAGAAGCCAGGAACTTCTGAGATCTATTCTCAGGTCTACCACAGATTCACGTGGTCTTGGGCCGGTCATTTAACACTCCCTGTGTTGCACTTATACCAGTTATAAAATTGAGACAATAACACTCACTTACCTGCCTCAGGCAGTACAGTAAGGGTTCTTTAAAAGATTTTACAGTGCTCTGAAGATGTAACATGCTATATGAATCCTAAGCATAATAGATCACTGCACAGACACACACAAACACAGTATCACAGTGAAGAACAATGATGCTAGGTAACAAGAGCATCACTACAACATAAAAAAATTACTTGTCCAATTGCATAATTAAAATGCAAGAGTCCATTTAGAAAAAATGTATCGCTGAAATAATTTCAAGGCTATTGGGGAAACGACATCAATAGGAATATTCTAAAAGAACTACTATTTGTGTTCCAGTGGAGACATTCTTTTCTATTAATTACTGAACTTTAAAGTGTTTGTTCAGGACAATTGTAAGACACAAAGTGAAGTTTCAATGCCTCCACTACCAAATTTTAAATTGCTTCTAATATGTAAATTAAGATTTTTTTGTTCTTTTTAATTACAAATTACATTCTTCCGAGAAATATACCATCCACAATAAAACTGGCTGCTAGCTTACTTCAAATGACCTATAGGCTAAACATTTTTCTCATAATTTTTCTCATCTTTGCTGAAAAATACCTATGCAAGATGTATGTGTAGAAATTATAAAAACATGCAGCATATGTACAAACTGAAAAGTTTAAAAAATATTAGCTTCATATACATGTAAATCTACTTGGATATATCTGAAATTAAATATAAAAATTTCACCACCTAAAATAAAAAAAAAACCAAAAATGGTTTTCAGAGAATCTGAGACAACTACTTAAAGCTGTACAAAGATTTCCACTTGGAAATGTCTTATTCAGAGAAGTTTAGGTTGTTACCATGTAGAAATAACTGTTAATTCATTTTGTCACATAATTCATTTTCAAGTTGTCAGCTTAAATCAACAACATCACCCTTAAAACTGTTCTGTTTTTCAGAAGTTAGATTCATACTAAAATCAAAAATTTCACAAAAACATTGGCTTCTTGTGTTTCTGGATCCGTTCAAAAAGATTTATCAACTCATTTTGAAACTGTAAAAAAACCAACTATTTACAGTATTTAATTTTAAATACTTTTCACAATTTCTAAATTCAGAGTTTTTATGTTACAAGAAATTCATCAGAGCTCACGGCGTAAGTCCAGTTATCAACTTGTAGCATCTTCTCTATCATGTAATCCTGCGTCTGTACCTATATAGCGTACAGTTCAAGATTGTACTGCAGGTTTTTGAAAGTAACAGGCTTTGCAGTATGTTCATTTTTTATTAAACAGCTTCTTTATTAGTCTGGAGGCGGTTCATTGCCTCTAACTTCTGCCGATAGGCCTCTGCTTCTTGTTCTTTCTTTAGAAGCTGCTGACGATATTTTTGTGCTTCTCTGTTTGCCTCATCCAGCTGTTTCTGAAGAGTTTCTCTTTCCTATTAGAAACAGAACCAGCAATATTTTGTCAAATATGTATCAAATACAAGTTCAAATGGCAAATACTTTTCCTTTACATGCAGCTCAAGTGTTAAGGTATCATGTCAAAACTGTTCTTACTCATACAAACCTATATGAATGCTGCTGTGTAAATTAGACATGAACTATCACACCAGACAACTCCCCACAATAAGGCTTGAACTGTAAATATAGTAAACCCAAGTTCCTTTAGCTGCAAAGATACCAAACAAGTCTTCATGGAAAAAGAGTGAAATAAAAAAGTGGGAGCATGGTGACCAAATACTAACATAATATATTAACATTTCTCCAGTGATTCAATTCCTTTGTTACTTTTTAAAATCGGAATCCAATCTAACAGGATTGTCCCTTTCTGTTGT